GTTGGAGTCTCACTCTGTCACCCAGACTGGAGTGCAGTGGCTGCTCCCGGCCACCACAGCCTCGACCTGCTGGGCTCCGGCGATCCTTCCGCCTCCACCTTCCAAGCGGCTGGAACTACAGGTGCGCGCTACCACGCCTGGCTAATTTTTTTGATTTTTATTGTAGAGATGAGGTATCTCCAAGTTGCCCAGGTGGGTCTTGAACCCACGGGCTCAGGCAATTCACTCACCTCGGCCTCCCAAGGCACGGGATTACAGGCTGAGCCACCAAGCCCTGCCGAAAAAGGATTCTAATAAAAAATTTAACATTTGCATGTCAGATTGGGAAATTCAGTAATTATTCTGAATCTTGTGCTCATTATTTCCTGGCTTTCTTTTTTTATAGTTTTATTGCACTTATTCATATTTCTTATTTGTACATATTTTAGGGTTAAAAAATACCTATGAGTATAGTATTCACTATTTGGGTAATGGGTATACTAAAAGCCTAGACTTCACTACTCAATATATGTTTGTAACAAGTCTGCACTTGCACTCCTTAAATGTAAAACGAATTTTTTTTTTTGCGTTAGAGTCTCACTGTTGCCCAGGATGGAGTGCAGAGGCATGCTCACAATTACCACAGCCTCCACCTACTGGGCTCAGGCAATCCTTCCGCCTCAGCCTTCCAAGTAGCTGCAACTACAGGTGTAAGTCACCATGTCTGCCTGGTTTTTTGATTTATTGTAGAGATGAGGTCTCGCCAACTTGCCCCTCGGTCTCAAACCCCTCGGCTCAGACAATCCTCTTGCCTCTATCTCCCAAAGTGCTGGGAATTACAGGTGTGAGCCACCATGCCCTGTAAAAAAAGGATTTTTAAATAAAAAAGCTTAACAAGGTTTTTTAAAATGTAAAAATAAAACATACATATTTTTATTTTAATAGTTTTTAGTTTTATAAAGAGAGTATTATACTATATGCAGTTTTCCTTCCTCCCTCCCTCTTTTGTAGGGATCTCACTCTGTCGCATAGACTGGAATGCAGTGGCACGCTCCCCGCCACTGCAGCCTTGACCTGCTGGGGTCCGGCCATCCTTCTGCCTCAGCCTTCCAAGTAGCCGGAACTACAGGCGTGCAATACCACTGCCAGCTAATTTTTGATTTATTGTAGAGATGAGGTCTTGCCAAGTTGCCCAGGCGGGTCTCAAACCCGCGGGCTCAGGCAATCCACTCACCTCAGCTTCCCAAAGCGCGGGATTACAGGCTGAGCCACCGAGCCCGGCTAGAAATTATTTCTATTTTATAACTTTTCCTGTAGAGGTCTTGTCATCTTTTATAGGTTTATTCCTAAAAAAGTGGTGTTTCTCGGATGCCATTGTAAATTATAAATTCTCTTTAATTATAACATCTAATTGCTGCTGGTGTATACAAACTACACAGCTAACTACTGAATATTTAACCTTTTATACAGTCATCTTGCTAAGCTCTGCTGTTATTTCTAATACTTTGTAAATTATATAATCTGCAAATAATAGCAGCTTTATTTCTTCCTTTCTGATCCCTAGGCCTCAAGTTTCTTGTCTAATTGTGCTGATTAGGGTTCCCAGTAGAATGCTGGATAGAAGCTGTGCTGCTGGATGTCTTTATTCTTGATTTTACTTGCTTACATGATTTTATTAAATTTTTAGTTTGAAATCAATTTAGACTTACAAAAGGTTACAGAAATAGTCAGTAGGTTTCCCAAATGTCCTTCACCCAGATGCCCTGAATGCTGACATTTCACCATTTTAGATATGTATTCATTCATCTGTGTAGTTTTTAATTTGTTTTTCATGATCATTCTTGATTTGGGACAAAATGTTTCCAATATTTTCCTATTCAGGATGATGTCTGTTTGTTTATTTATTTAGAGTTGGAGTCTCACTCTGTCACCCAGGCTGGAGTGCAGTGGCATGCTCACGGCTACTGTAGCCTCCACCAGCTGGGCTCAGGAGATCCTTTCGCCTCAGCCTTCCAAGTGGCTGGAACCACAGGCGTGTGTTACCATGCCCGGCTAATTTTTTAATTTATTGTAGATGAGGTCTTGCCAAATTGCCCAGGCTGGTCTCGAATCCCTGGATTCAGGCCCACCTCTCAAAGTGCTGAGATTACAGGCATGAACCCTTGTACTCTCGCCCCACCTCTCAAAGTGCTAAGATTACAGGCATGAACCACTGCGTCTAGCCTATTTATTTTTAAAATACATTTTGTCAGCGTAAAGGAATTCTCTTCCATTCCTAATTTACTGAGTCTAAAAAATCATACTTTGGTATTGAGTTTCACCAAAGTTTTTCTAAGTCTTCAAAAAAATCTGGCAACATGGTGAATTACATGTATGGCTTTTCCAAAGCTAAATCACACTTGCGTACTTGGGATATACCCAACAATCCCTGGTAGTATTATTTTTTTTATATACTGTTAAATTCAATTTGCTGATATTTTTATTTAAAAATTTTAACTTTCAGTAGAGACTTTCATCTCTTTCCTGCTCCCCCCCCTTTGAATTTATTTCATTGTTCCTTTGTACTTTCTTCAGAAGGATTTATTGATAGCCCATTAATTGTGGGACCTTCTTCCTTGAGGCTGCAGCCCACAGGTGTTGTTTTGATAGCTTGATAGTTTGGTAGGAAGAGGTAGGAATGATGTGGTAGTGAGGGCCACATGGCTGGTTAGGTATTGATTATTGTCAAGATCCTAGTTTTTGTTGTGAGTGATGGGTTAATGGACACTTACATGATTAAAAATAATGGGACAAGGAAGACCCCTCTGTGCCTGTTTTGGGTTTCAGCTTGTTCACCTCCGGGACTGGGTGGGTACTGCTTGTAGGCCCCTTTCTCTGGAGCCACTGTTTTGTGACTCTTGGACAGTCAACACAATGTTGGACCAACAAGAGTTACAGAAAAGCATTTATATAGAAAGATTAGTGTTATGTGCTTTCATGTGACCTTAAAAACAGGAAATAATATTCATGCTTTTATTTTGCAGTTTGCATGAAACCTGGTACGTGATTTTAAGACATTGCCTCTTTTATTGTTTATTTACTAAGAACAACAACTTGGTCTTGACTGGAGGACTAGCACCACTGTGGAGGGTCTCTCCCTCGAAGGGCAAGATTGGGATCAGTAGGGTGGAAATGTTTGGGGGTGGCCCAAGCGGAGGGGCCGCCTGCTCTGGCCTGCTTCACACTGGTTCCTCCTGATGTTTTCCACATGGTAGAATTGCTGTCCTGAGACCCACCTGAGGCACTGGGGCACCAGGACAGGAGCTCTGCTGGGAGGGGTCGGGTGGTTGGGGCTCATGTGCTAGCTTTGCTGTTCATCCTTTGTCCGGTGGGGCTCTTGGCTGTAGAGATAAAAACCTGTGTGAGGGGAGGTCCTGGTGACCAGGCCGGCATCCCACTCTTACTTGTTCCCTTAGACGTGTCCCCGGATTCCTTGTCTAGGTTTTTTTTTTTT